AAATTTTAATAATTATTAAATTTAATTTAATATTTTAATATAATTTAATATATTTAAATATATTAAATATGATTTTAAGTATTATTTTTATTTTTATTCTTATTTTAGTTATTATTTTTCAATTTTCTTAATAGAACTATTTTAAAAATATAAATTATATTTTATTAATTATTAAAATATAAAAATATAATGAGTAATATTATAATTTTTATTTAAGTTTAATATTTATTAAATTTTAAATAAAAAGCAAAGTATTAACATATTTTATAGATTTTAATATATAAATAAGCTTTTTAAAATTTTCATTTTTATTTAAAATTTAATAATTATTTAATTTAATTTAATATTTTATTATAATTTAATATATTTGAATATATTAAATCAAATTTATTTTTATTATTATTTATTATTATTATTATTATTATTATTATTATTATTATTATTATTTTTATTAATTTATTTTTATGTTTTTAATATAATTATTATTATAATATAAATTATATTTTAATAATTATTAAAATAAAAAATTATTTTAAATAATATTTAAATTTTATAATAAATTAAATTAAATAATTATTAAGGTAGTCAAGATTGTTTTTAATAAAATAGAAAAGAAAATAAAAAAATATTTATAAAAGTTAAAAATAAAGTTTTGTAAAAGTTGGAGGTGGATGATGATGAGATGTCAGAAGGTTAAAAATGAAATTTTTGAAGGTGCAGGATGAGATCTTGAAGGTATAAAATGAAACACTCAAAGGTAAGAAAGAAAATGAATTTTAAGCTCAAACAAAAAATTGGGTCCAGCTACCGAATCACAGAGGATTAGCCTTAAAATCAGTATTTTTAAAATGATAACTTATTTGAGGCGCATATATGATTTTCTTATCGAAGAGAGGTAGAAAATTCGGAAATTATTGATTTTTAAAACAAGCATATTAGAGAAATACATATTATAAAATACATTTTTTAAAACGAGCATATGATTTGTATAATTAAGCATCAACTCACAATCAAAACTTGTTTTTATGTTGTGATATTGTTTACACCTCGTACTCCATAATAAATAGTTTTTTTTTTTCTTTTTTTTAAGTCGATTACACAAAATCCAAGTCTTTATTAGGTATACCGTAGAGAAAAGTTAGTTTTTATTGAGTAATATTACAAATGAGTTTTTATTTTATTTTTGAATGATTTTTGTTTCGGGCGTGGGATCAAGTAACTTCTAACTCATTCACAATTTTTTCTCTTAAGTCGTTTGGGTAGCAAAATCCTTATTTTGTCTTTGTCTGCTCCAATCATCCAGTGAGATACTTGTCAAAGGTTTTTCGATATTTAAGTCAGCAAATATTCTGAACCGTAGTCAGAGCAATAGTATTAAATGCACAGTAAATATAAACAACTACCTCTTACCTTTGATCTATATTTATAGTTTTTGAAATAGGAGAGATTAATGATACATTAATCTCGATTCGATCTCAATTCATTACTCTTAAACACCATTTACCTTAATCTAGAAAACTTATCTGTCGAGTAAGACCGTCCAATATCGCTAGAGCTGCTCTATCCTATCTGTCGAAGTTCAGGTAATATTCATCCGCTGTTTAGCTATTCCTTATCTATAGGGTCGTCTAACCTATGTGATACTCATTATCCTCCAGAGTCATTCCCTCCTACGTTACAATTTTAGCCATATTCAGTTTTCTAAAAGGATAATGATACTTTGACAACATTTTAACACTGTCTACGTGTCATTCTGTGATTGGTCCAAAATTATTCCATAATCAATAATAATAATCATAAACACCAATATAAACCAATCACAGAATGACACGTAAACAGTGTTAAAATGTTGTCAAAAAAATGTTGTCAAAAGTATCGTAATCCTTTCTAAAATAACTTGAGAAATGTATTTGAATGCAATATAATAAAATAATCATGTATACAAACGAAGACATTATTAAATAACAAGAGCAGCAGAAGATCTAACATTCCATTAACGTGTTTTTATTTCATGTGATGAAATTTAAAAAGAATCAATATTTTATTTCTCCTGATGCTAATATCATGTTATCCGAACTTATTTTTGTTTCTTGATTAGACCAAAAGAAGCACCATCCATCGATTTCATATTCGGAATATAATTTTATCTCTTAGTTGGTATTACCATGAATAATCAATTCCAGAAGCAATGAACTTTTCAGTTCTCTTTTGTTTGCAATACATAGTTAAGTGCAGAATAGGATCGTTATTGATTCCGATTCTTTCAAAATCCCTATTATGCTCATCTACCTGGATCTTCGAATATATTCTTCCTCGTTCCAATAGCATGTCATTGTAATTTCCCCATACTTCTCCTTTTAATTTCTCTTTGTAACTCAATTTTAAACAACTAAAAGCAATAATTAATATACACATTTTTCAAATGAAAGATCATCTCTTTTTAAGACGTTCCTCTAATATTTTATTCGATGGTATTATACATAAAAAGTTCATATCTCTGGCAAAACAAGAGTTTAATTATACGTACTATAAAACAATTCCCAGTCTATACGTGCTCTAGCACAATAAAACTGCAGAGCAAGTGCAAGACATCAATTTCTCCAACGGAAAAAGGCAAAAATTATAAGCAATCTTCTTGTTTAATTTATTTTTACATATAAGAAGCAATAGAGAGTGTGGAAGGGAAGAAAAGAAAGGAATTAATAGAGTGCATACTGCACTTGATTTCATTCGCTAGTTTAGCGATTGAGATTCTGATTTCAAAGACTAATTAATTCCCTGTTTGATTTTATGTTTATTATCATTGCTTGTTAATTACAAAGCGAAATGGCCAACGACTCTTCCCTCAGTAACCTCGTCTGCTTTGCAATAAACGCATCTATCGTGCGCCGGAACTCCTCGTTGCTCAGCTTATCCTGCGGATACGATTTTTCCCGCGCCTTCTCCGTCTCCGATCGCCGGACTTCTCGTCCCGCCGTCTTATTCCCATCCTCGCCCTTTCCCTCCGACAGGCTTTGGCAATAAACTTTTCTTCTATCAAGATGATCTGCTGCGGCGCCCGAATCGCTGTCCTTACACGTGTCACCGATCTGCCGGTGCTCTGCCTCTGCCACAACCGGCTCATCAGAATGGGATTGGGTGAATCGGCGGGACTGGGCGAGAAGAGCGGCGATGATGGCGTTGAAAACGGCGAAGACGAAGAGAGGACTGCGGAGATAGTCGGCGGAGAGCCGCAGAGCTAAAGGGAGACGCGCGAGGAACCACGTAAGGAAGAAGAGAGCGGCGCATAGTTCGAAAATGCGAAGTGTCTTGGTAATGCTGTTAACAATGCTGCGTTTCCCTACTTTCATGTTGCTCAACTCTATTGCATCCATGGCCTATAAAGAAAGAAAGAGAGAGAGAGCCTTTCTCTTTCCACGTCTTCGTGTTCTTATATACACAGATTGAACTCTGCCACCGCCATTTTTTCTTCAGTAACACTGTTTTGTAATTAAGAGGTTAATATCTTACACACGGTACATGCAACCCCTTAATTAATCACATTATATTTATATTTTAAACTAACACCATATCAAATCAAATATAAATCTCCATAAAGTAGCTTTGTGTGGATGAGGGAGAGTATGTGATGGATTTTACATTTAATTTGAGGTTTTATTCCATGGTATATGCATGGAATAAGTAACTTTTAACTGCCAAAAGACTCGTCTCAAGTTCATGTATCCTTTACTTATTCTGTTCAACAACAATCTCTCCAGATTCTTTATCCAAAAAATAAAGGAGGCGACTATAATCAACAAAATGCTATGTATTTATACTTCTTTTTTTATGTAACTTTTATATAGTTTATTTAGTTAACAGGGTAAAGAAAGAGAAAATTAACTTTACACAAGGCGCTTCAATGGTGATATGCAGGAGTTCCGCACAGATATAGAAAATGAAAGAGGAAAAATAAAATAGAATTNAAAAATAAAGTTTTGTAAAAGTTGGAGGTGGATGATGATGAGATGTCAGAAGGTTAAAAATGAAATTTTTGAAGGTGCAGGATGAGATCTTGAAGGTATAAAATGAAACACTCAAAGGTAAGAAAGAAAATGAATTTTAAGCTCAAACAAAAAATTGGGTCCAGCTACCGAATCACAGAGGATTAGCCTTAAAATCAGTATTTTTAAAATGATAACTTATTTGAGGCGCATATATGATTTTCTTATCGAAGAGAGGTAGAAAATTCGGAAATTATTGATTTTTAAAACAAGCATATTAGAGAAATACATATTATAAAATACATTTTTTAAAACGAGCATATGATTTGTATAATTAAGCATCAACTCACAATCAAAACTTGTTTTTATGTTGTGATATTGTTTACACCTCGTACTCCATAATAAATAGTTTTTTTTTTTCTTTTTTTTAAGTCGATTACACAAAATCCAAGTCTTTATTAGGTATACCGTAGAGAAAAGTGAGTTTTTATTGAGTAATATTACAAATGAGTTTTTATTTTATTTTTGAATGATTTTTGTTTCGGGCGTGGGATCAAGTAACTTCTAACTCATTCACAATTTTTTCTCTTAAGTCGTTTGGGTAGCAAAATCCTTATTTTGTCTTTGTCTGCTCCAATCATCCAGTGAGATACTTGTCAAAGGTTTTTCGATATTTAAGTCAGCAAATATTCTGAACCGTAGTCAGAGCAATAGTATTAAATGCACAGTAAATATAAACAACTACCTCTTACCTTTGATCTATATTTATAGTTTTTGAAATAGGAGAGATTAATGATACATTAATCTCGATTCGATCTCAATTCATTACTCTTAAACACCATTTACCTTAATCTAGAAAACTTATCTGTCGAGTAAGACCGTCCAATATCGCTAGAGCTGCTCTATCCTATCTGTCGAAGTTCAGGTAATATTCATCCGCTGTTTAGCTATTCCTTATCTATAGGGTCGTCTAACCTATGTGATACTCATTATCCTCCAGAGTCATTCCCTCCTACGTTACAATTTTAGCCATATTCAGTTTTCTAAAAGGATAATGATACTTTGACAACATTTTAACACTGTCTACGTGTCATTCTGTGATTGGTCCAAAATTATTCCACAATCAATAATAATAATCATAAACACCAATATAAACCAATCACAGAATGACACGTAAACAGTGTTAAAATGTTGTCAAAAAAATGTTGTCAAAAGTATCGTAATCCTTTCTAAAATAACTTGAGAAATGTATTTGAATGCAATATAATAAAATAATCATGTATACAAACGAAGACATTATTAAATAACAAGAGCAGCAGAAGATCTAACATTCCATTAACGTGTTTTTATTTCATGTGATGAAATTTAAAAAGAATCAATATTTTATTTCTCCTGATGCTAATATCATGTTATCCGAACTTATTTTTGTTTCTTGATTAGACCAAAAGAAGCACCATCCATCGATTTCATATTCGGAATATAATTTTATCTCTTAGTTGGTATTACCATGAATAATCAATTCCAGAAGCAATGAACTTTTCAGTTCTCTTTTGTTTGCAATACATAGTTAAGTGCAGAATAGGATCGTTATTGATTCCGATTCTTTCAAAATCCCTATTATGCTCATCTACCTGGATCTTCGAATATATTCTTCCTCGTTCCAATAGCATGTCATTGTAATTTCCCCATACTTCTCCTTTTAATTTCTCTTTGTAACTCAATTTTAAACAACTAAAAGCAATAATTAATATACACATTTTTCAAATGAAAGATCATCTCTTTTTAAGACGTTCCTCTAATATTTTATTCGATGGTATTATACATAAAAAGTTCATATCTCTGGCAAAACAAGAGTTTAATTATACGTACTATAAAACAATTCCCAGTCTATACGTGCTCTAGCACAATAAAACTGCAGAGCAAGTGCAAGACATCAATTTCTCCAACGGAAAAAGGCAAAAATTATAAGCAATCTTCTTGTTTAATTTATTTTTACATATAAGAAGCAATAGAGAGTGTGGAAGGGAAGAAAAGAAAGGAATTAATAGAGTGCATACTGCACTTGATTTCATTCGCTAGTTTAGCGATTGAGATTCTGATTTCAAAGACTAATTAATTCCCTGTTTGATTTTATGTTTATTATCATTGCTTGTTAATTACAAAGCGAAATGGCCAACGACTCTTCCCTCAGTAACCTCGTCTGCTTTGCAATAAACGCATCTATCGTGCGCCGGAACTCCTCGTTGCTCAGCTTATCCTGCGGATACGATTTTTCCCGCGCCTTCTCCGTCTCCGATCGCCGGACTTCTCGTCCCGCCGTCTTATTCCCATCCTCGCCCTTTCCCTCCGACAGGCTTTGGCAATAAACTTTTCTTCTATCAAGATGATCTGCTGCGGCGCCCGAATCGCTGTCCTTACACGTGTCACCGATCTGCCGGTGCTCTGCCTCTGCCACAACCGGCTCATCAGAATGGGATTGGGTGAATCGGCGGGACTGGGCGAGAAGAGCGGCGATGATGGCGTTGAAAACGGCGAAGACGAAGAGAGGACTGCGGAGATAGTCGGCGGAGAGCCGCAGAGCTAAAGGGAGACGCGCGAGGAACCACGTAAGGAAGAAGAGAGCGGCGCATAGTTCGAAAATGCGAAGTGTCTTGGTAATGCTGTTAACAATGCTGCGTTTCCCTACTTTCATGTTGCTCAACTCTATTGCATCCATGGCCTATAAAGAAAGAAAGAGAGAGAGAGCCTTTCTCTTTCCACGTCTTCGTGTTCTTATATACACAGATCGAACTCTGCCACCGCCATTTTTTCTTCAGTAACACTGTTTTGTAATTAAGAGGTTAATATCTTACACACGGTACATGCAACCCCTTAATTAATCACATTATATTTATATTTTAAACTAACACCATATCAAATCAAATATAAATCTCCATAAAGTAGCTTTGTGTGGATGAGGGAGAGTATGTGATGGATTTTACATTTAATTTGAGGTTTTATTCCATGGTATATGCATGGAATAAGTAACTTTTAACTGCCAAAAGACTCGTCTCAAGTTCATGTATCCTTTACTTATTCTGTTCAACAACAATCTCTCCAGATTCTTTATCCAAAAAATAAAGGAGGCGACTATAATCAACAAAATGCTATGTATTTATACTTCTTTTTTTATGTAACTTTTATATAGTTTATTTAGTTAACAGGGTAAAGAAAGAGAAAATTAACTTTACACAAGGCGCTTCAATGGTGATATGCAGGAGTTCCGCACAGATATAGAAAATGAAAGAGGAAAAATAAAATAGAATTCATTAGGGAAGAATTTCCTTTAAAAATTTATTTTTTATTTCTTAAGTTGAAAAGAGAAGTTGTTTATTTAAGGTAGGAAGTTAGTTGAAAGGAGCAGTCAAACATTGAGTCATTCTGAGCTTGCATGTAATATAAGAAAAGAATCAAAAACTGCTCCAAAACTCTCTGCGACTGGCGTACCAAAATTAAACTATCAGTCCTGCTGCTATCTACTCATCTGTATCTTTATTTTGCTCTTCTCAATTCAAGAAAGTGACTTATTTCTTGTATTTTAGGTTGCTTCTTGTTCTTGCACTTGTATATTTACTTTTCGATTTATAGTAGCCATATCTATTACTTGAGTTTATTCTTTACAAGCTCTTTATTTTTCAAAGTTGAGAAAAATTTAGTTGTCACTCTCATAATTCATTATATTACCACTGGCGTTTCCGTATTTGCATAATATGATGATATTCTCTTTCACTTTACTTTCCCTTTATTCTTTTCTATCCTAGTGTTATATTATTTGTCACGTATCTTTTCTAAACACAAATGAGTAAATATGTTTGTATATGTTTGTTCTAGACCCTTTGAATTATAACATTTATCTTATATTATATTTAATGTAATGTCACTTCAAGATTTCCTCTTCTTTATTTATAATGAAATTGTGTACTGAGTAAACTTTTCAACCAACATTTTGTTTTGTGTCCTGTGGTACATTGTGCAGTTGAGACTTTCGTGTGTGTGTGTGTGTGTCATATAAATTATTATACGATCCTTATATCAATTCTTAAAGAGGTAGGCACTGACAAAATGTATTACCAGCTTTATGTATAGGCAGCATAGCTCTTGAGAAGTAATACGTACGGAATGAGAAAGAGAGAAAACGAGTAGTTCAGTATATGAATAATTATGATTTAAGGCTCCTTCCTTTTGAGCTTGTGAATTATAATAAAAGGTTAGTTAAATATTTTTCTTTATAAATATTAATTTTATAACTTTTTAATTATTTATATTATTCTAACATTAAGAAGAAAAAAAATATATATATTGTTTCTACATAGCCGAATGGTCTATCTTAATTTTTTGGTCTTTTAAGTTGTACAAAGTACTTCTACCATTAAGTCAAGTTTTGTTTTAGTTAATAAACGTTGGTGTATTAGTTCATTATATTTTTAATGAGTTTTTACTTCTTTTTACAGGCCTAATCAATATCTAGTAACTTGATGAGTCTAGGGTTGATGATGTATTTAGGAAGTTACTTGATTCCATCTTAGACATTATATTAGCTTAATTGGGTGTGTTGCTTGAGCAATTGAATACCACAATTATTTCATAATGTAAATAATTAACGATTATGAGTTTGATATTAATTTTTTTTTCGGAGTTTAATCACATTCAAATTGTGATTTTTTATTTATTTATCATTATTGCACCCATACATTCAAAGTTGGAGTATAAGTGAAAGATATAATTATTGATCTAGTATTTTGATTCAACTATTATGTTACTATCATAGTAATGTCAAAAGTTGAATTCTAGCAGATTTTAAAGAAGAGATTATATTGTGAGTTGAAATGGTGAATATGATGGTTTGACCAAGGCTATATTAATTATTTTGATATATTTTAACAAAATTAAAATTTATTCTTTTTTCTAAAACTTTGATACAATTTAATTTTCAAATTTTAAAATGGATGGATATAATCATTTTGAACCATTGTCGGTAGCAGGACAACCGGTATCGTAGAGTCGCGCAGTGGAATAAAGTAAGCGGAAAGTTAAGATGGCCCGTTTTTTATAAAATTAGTTTTCTTAGAGAAAATTTATCGAACAATTGATGTGCGGAAAATGTAAAGAGTGTAGGGAGTAGAAAAATTCAACACAGAATTTTTATCCTGGTTCGAATCAAAAGATTCTACGACCAGTTGTTAATCACTATAAAAATTGATTAACGTTTTCACTAAAAATCAGTTTCACAGATTTACAATAGAGTGAATGAAACAGAAAGATAAAACCTTCCTTCGACGAACGAACCGGAAGGGTGCTTCCTTCGACCAACGAACCGGAAGCGATCAATCTACACTTTCCTTCGACCAACGAACCGGAACAGTGCAGAAACAGTCTTCCTTCGACCAACGAACTGGAAGAACAACAGCGTTGCCAACTCGAAGAGAACCGCTCCGACCTTTGACCCACAAAGCACGAGCTTCTCCTATTCACGAGACCAGAGGCAATGCAATGAACTAGCTTTTTGGAACTTCTTCATATCACATTGTATTCTCAAAAAGCTCAGAGTTAACCCTCTAAGGGTTTTACAAAAAGCTCAGAGTTTACAAACCACGGGTTCAACCCGGTGAGCCGGGTTCTAAGTGAACCAGGTTGAAAACTAGCCCGTATAAAAAAATTATATTTTTTTCAAACTAAACCCGGCTCCAACCAATGGTGAGCCGGGTTGACTCGCACCTTACAACCCATTTTGACAGCACTAATTAAAATGTGTCTAATGATACAAATTAAAAAAATAATTATTTATTTTTAAAATTTATTAATTTTAAAATAGTTTTTAGGAATGCTTATAATAGTTTAAATTGATTAAGAAAAAAGAAATTATATGGGAGATAATTATGTATATGACAGTATAAATTATTTGTATTAACCATATATATTATTTTTATATATTATTTTTTAAATAATATTATTTTAAGAAATAAAAGTAAAATATCTTTTTAAAAATTTAACTTTATAAAAAGCCAATCAAGTAATTAAAAATTAGAAAGAGATCAAATAAAAAATAAAAAATTAGTATAAAGAATAATTAATACTTTAATATAAGTTACTTTTGAATAATATATTAAATGTCCAAATGATTATAATTATAAATGTATAAAATTAAGAATACACTAGTATAAAAACAGAGTATAACGTCACGCGTTCAACGTCCAACCACTAAATAACCAATGTTAAAAATGACCGGTGACATTTTTGTAAATAAATGCAATTATTAAACGTCGTTTAGAATTGTAATTCGACCTAAAAAGATATAAAACGCCGAATGCTCTAGTGTAAGGATCGAGAAATTCAGAGAAAGTGGAGAAGACATGTGTATGCATATGAGTGGACCGATCGGTTTTGACGATAGTATATAAATGAACTTTTCAAAATTTCGTGTCATTCTCTGCATGCACTTCTTCTCTCCAAACTTCTGAGTTTTCCTTTCTCCTTCTTCTCTCTAGAAATTCTCACTCTTTATTCATCTGATATCAATCAGGTCGTACCTGAACTTTCCTGGTGTCAAAAGCTTCCTTCTTCACTGATCAAAAGAAATCTTTGAATTGGTAAGTTCATCTTCCTCTCAGAAATTCTGGTTGCTGTCACATGCAAGCCAAGTCTCGAGTTGCATGTGTTCATCATCTTTCTTTTCTTGTTTCTGACTTCAATTTTGGTCCTATGTTTGGTCTTTTCTCACCAAATGGTGATCTATAGGTGTTCATAGAGTTTCTTTCAGTGCAAGCATCAAGTTGGGAAATTTGGGGTTGAGTTGTTCAGATTTTCTAAGGTAAGGGAAGCTAAATAATTTAACTTGTATGTTTATATGTTTGTAATGAATTGTATGATTGATTGAAATGCATGTTGAATTTATGTTTTCGATTGAATGTGTGAGGACTGAACTCTATGAACTGGACTTGGGGAGTATTATGCAGAAAAAGTGTTCGCCAGTGTCAAATTGAGGAAGTAAGAGGGTGAAAACGAGAGTTTGAGGTTGGGAGTGATTTTTGGCAGTGAGATGAGTTTGAACAAGTGCATTGTGACCTGTTAGAATCATTAAGTTGGCCAAAAATGTATAAAAGTGGTAAATTCTGGTGTTCTTCGTAATTTTGCAGAATTTTGCAGAATTATGCAGAACGCGGAGTGTGCACAGTTGGTCGTTCGGTCTTGGTCAAGCGCTCGGTATTATACTAGCATTTATGTTAGTGTTAACACTCGGTATTATACTAGCATTTATGTTAGTGTTAGCGCTCGGTCTTATACTAGCATTTATGTTAGTGTTAGCGCTCGGTCTTATACTAGCATTTATGTTAGTGTTAGCGCTCGGTCTTATACTAGCATTTAGGCTAGTGTTAGCGCTCGATCTTATAATAGCATTCGGTTTAGTCTTGGTATTCAACCTAGTTTTAGTAATCAACTTTAATATAGTGTTAGGCTTTCCCTAGTAGTAAGCCTTCACCAGTGTTCGGTCAATTGTTAGGTCTTGTCTGTTATAGACCGTTCGGTTTTGTCCTAGGTGGTGAGAAACTATTTGGTCTCCAACATAGGGTTCTCGGTCTTATGACTGAGGATATGATTGTTGAATGAAATTATATGTTAAATGATGGGAATTATGTTTTTAAGTACTGTGGAAGAGAATTCCAAGGCGGAATGTCTCGTGAATGGATATTGAATGGTAAAGTATGAATGTGGATATCGTGCTAAGCTGGTGTTTATCCTGATATTCTGTGATTACTCATGCTCAAGTAGAGAGGAGTAACTCATGTGTGAGAATGACAGGAGGTCATTTAACCTCCAGGTATC